TTAGTTATTTATTTATTATTATGTGTGTGTGTGTGTGTGTGTGTGTGTGTGTGTGTGTGTGTGTGTGTGTGTGTGTGTGTGTGTGTGTGTGTGTGTACTACCAACCAGGAAAGGAAATGGGTTTTAGGAACTAGGTACATGCTTAGAAGTAGCAGCGGATGATAGGTATAAAAAAGCAAATAGAAAAGACAGAAGGTTCTTATTTTCTATTCTAGCTTGTCAATATCAGAAATAGGAGTTCCTAATTCATAAGAAACTTTAGACTTTGTATTTGGACATCACAAATATATATTTTGAACCAATGCTGCATTCAATATACCACGTGACACACAAAATTCAATATTTAGGTGTGTTCCTTTAATATTGACTTTTAAATTAAAAAATTAACTGATGTATAGTACAAAAATTTGAATTATCTACAATTCGATACCAAACTTATTGTTTGTTTTGGTTTTTTGAATTTCGAGCAAGGTTACACGAGGGCTGTCTGCGCTAGCCGTCCCTAATTTAGCAGTGAAAGACTAGAGAGAAGGCAGCTAGTCATCACCACCCGCCACCACTAACTCTTCGGCTAATCTTTTACCAGCGAATAGTGGGATTGACCGTTTAATTATAACGCCCCCACGGCTGAAAGGACGAGCATGTTTGGTGGGACTGGAATTCGAACCCCCGACCCTCAGATTGCGAGTCCAGCGTCCTAACCACCTGGCCATGCCGGGCCCACCAAATTTATTGACCTAAACTCATAAAATAGTAGTTCAATAAAAGCTTGAATGCAAGTCAACAAACGCGATGATATGGCTTTTGACCCCTGACGATAGCATTAATAAACATCTTCAGTAGTTACAAACTTGACCAATGTGAAAAATAATGCAAACTGAGAACTAGGTACACGGCGTGTACCCCCCATTTATATCACTGCCACCAACAGTAATTCTAGGTACCCCCAGTGGTACGCGTACCACAGTTTGGGAATCTCTGATCTATACTACTTGGTGATCAGATACCATTCTGGGGAGTTTAAATGCTTTACACGAAACATAAAAAAAACCCAAAAACATGAATTTTTGTAATTAAAGGGTATGCGGCCTTTGGAATCTCTTAAAACCTAATACTATTGTTCTTTTTACATAAACGCGTGCGTGCGTAATTAGCATATTTTGATGAATTTATTTCATATAGTACGTTTATTTGGATAATCATGTAAAATAACCTATAATTTATTTAAGCTAAAAGTTGATTACACGAGACAACCTAAGATACACCCTAGGCCTTTTAATAGTGCTAGGAAATTAAACTTCATCGTCATACACATTCTTTTGATTTCGCTGCAGCGCACCAATTATCTAACCCGAAATTACGAGAACAGTTTAAATATTTTCAAATTTACGCCACTTCCGGGGAGGAAGGAAAAAACAAACATCCTTTATATTTATTTCTCTGACAATCGTCAACAGTTTTTGCTGGCGGATCTCCATCCAGCGCAGCCGCGATTTCGTGTCTTGTACGCCACCTCCTGACTGAAAGTGTAACTCAATACTACCGTGTCAGATGTCGCACCATACTTAAAAAAACGTGGTTCGAAGGAAATAGTTGATAGTTTTAGTACAGAATTTATTGGTCTGGACACATAATTTACTGTATGATTTCAACATTAAATTTGTACTCACAATAATTTGTCATTCAATAGACAATTTCCAATATTATATATTTACTTATTCTGTCAACCAAATTGGAATGTAGTAGCTACGAATGTTGGGGTTGGCAACTCTTACTGTAACCTCGCAGCATGTGTAGCTACAGAAGAAACAAAGGAAAAAAAAAAAAAACTTTCATTCTACGGATGTTATGAGATCAAAAAAAATATTTTTCATTTGTTTAACAGTTTGAATTCCGATACATTTCCTATTTGCTTTAAAGTTAGTACTAATAATAATTATTATTATTGTTATACACAACTGTTAAGTCGATACTATTATCTTAATGATGTTAATAACAGTATACACTTGGAATCGACTGGATCTCCAGAGCTGACGTCAAGTAACTAAAAACAAACACTTCCCGTAATAACTATAATCTTTAGTAATCGTATTCAACATGTGGATAATGGGAAAACACCAACATAAGCATGCTGTGATTTGTAGATAATTTTCGAAAATGACTGCTCTGAAGGTCACTACTTACAACTGGTCAAGATTCATGTGTATAATTAAAAAAACAAAATGATTTACTAGTATAATGTGAAAAATTAGCGATGAGGTAGCAAACAAGATTCCAGCAATTTCCCCACACTTCTCTCCGACATTTCTTTAAAACTTCAGTCTTATTCATATTACTACACCTTTCAGATAGCACCGATTTCCAGTAAGAGTGAAAAGGCACATAGGTTCATAGAATAAATGAGCATTCAAAATATTCATTGCCAAATAATTACGCATTCTCTAACGAAATTCGCAAAAAAAAAAAAAAAAAAAAAAAAGAAATTCTGAGCGCAAATGTAGAATCACAATCAACTAACTTTATTCAAAAAAGCACAGTGAAAATATATTTAAGTGCCACTGTGGACAGTCGTCCTTACTATTGAAAAATCGTTCTAACTTAAGTTGAGGTATTATGCAAGACTACCTGTTTACTTTTTGTTCCAGACTGAATACGTCTCACGTTACGTAGTGTAATTAATTCATTAACGTCAGACTTACCCAGAGCGACAAGAGATACCTTGCGACTGATCATTCCAAAGGAAACATAATTGAGATCATTACCTCAAGAGATCACCTGACTTTCAGTGGAAGAGATAACTTCACATACTACAGGTGAGCTTTCAGCTATCTTTAACACAGGAAGAAGTAAAATGCTACTCCAGATGTATGACATAGAACAATTGGTAGCAAGAATGACAGTAACTTTACCTTTTTGATCAATGTGCATATAACCTTAACAAATAAATTTTGAAAAATTTTTCTTATTAATACCAGAAGGTAAAAACGCGTGGTATGCTTATATACCACATACTCTTAAGTTACAACAGGCTGAAAGAAAAACAGTGAGTCAAACATGTTCGGAAGTGAACAAAGGCGACATGAAATTAGATATTTTGGCAGGCTTGAAACATTGTACAGCTTATGACACTGTTGATATTTTTTTAACTACACACACCCACTTGCATGTCATAACCACCAAAAATTTAGTAACAGAACTGAACTTTAACTTTTATATAATGTACATGGTTTTAAAACAAATGTAACAGTGTTAACAAATCCTTACCCTAATTCTGATGTATCGTAACAAAATTGTTAAAAAATTACAATTCACAGAATAGCAGTTGTCAAATGATTTGCGAATAAGGAGTTTCAACAAGTACTATATATCTATCATATCATAGCCTGCATGAAGAGTCGTGGTATTGGCTGAAAGGCCTCGTTGGCACAAGATACAGCAGATATTATACACTTCTTTACTTTCAAGCTCGAAGTTCTTATTAATAATTTCATACTTTCTCCTTTTTCTACTAACACGATAACTTAGTCTTCTTATTAGTGTATTTCACAAGTTTGGTAGAAGTCTAACGCCCTTCTTCCACTGGGCAAAGACAATGCTTTATGAAAACATTAAACACACTGACAGAGGTTCAACGCCGTGTGAAGTACAGAGTGTAAATCACATGCTGCTGCAGCATCCATACACAAAGTAACAGTAAAATTTAATTAAGACCAAAATAGCCGATTAAGTTTAGTAATTACTATTTCTAATCTTTGTACAAACGAACAGTGCAAATCTGTTTATCAATGGCCAAACACCTCGAGACGTGACACTTATTACTAAAAGTATGGACCATGGGTTAAGCTAAGACCACACACACACACTAGATTCCCACGAAAAGATCTTCAGTGTACAATACGCCGTTTGGAATATTGCAAACTAAGCTTTTGTTTGTCACTGAAATTACTGGAGGTTACTATTTATGACCCGAACCACATGACACATCAAGAGCATTACGTCATGTCACGAGAATCAATTACGTTGAATTTCCCCATAGAAGTCAAATGACTTAATTATATTTCCATTTTGTTCGATTGAACAAGTCACATCTTACATAACCATATGTGTAAATGCGACCTAACTAAAACTCAATTCAAAACACAACGCGAACCAAATTCTGACCTGAAGATAAAACACAACTGAAACGAACACAATTGTCTATTCTCAAGGTAAAAAAAAGAAAGAAATTTACAACGGAATTGACTTAGATGTATAAACATGTGACGTTCT